CGTCGTGGCTGACCAGCGCGTGACCGCGGACAGAGCGGTGCGGGAAAAACCTCTGCGAGCCTATTTTGAACTAAACACCGATTACAACAGAGTACACTTTATCACCCCCTGCAGTATGAAGGGTCATCAGCGTGACGCAAAGACTGTCTCGAAATGCCTCAAAGGTCTTCGTCGTGAGCCCTTTCGGCATGATGTCGGCGTACTGTTCTCCGGTCGGCACGTGGAGAACGCGAAGCTCGCCGGCCTGCATCCGTTCGCGCACGAAGTGGATGTCAAGTTCGACGTGCTTCGTTCTCTTGTGATGAACCGGATTCGCGGACATGTAAATGGTAAAGACATTGTCGCAGAACGCCATGGTTGCCTTCGAACTAAACACCGATTACAACAGAGTACACTTTATCACATACCATCATTTTGCACGGAAAAGTGCAACTAATTCTACAACAAAATACGAGTACGTACTAGAGTATCACCCCTCTATATATGTACTCCACTACAGCGTACCCTGTCAACCTACCTCTGGCTCTGGTCTCGTGGGTGGTAGGAGCTGACCTTTGGCAGCTCTCAGTGTGCAGCTACAAACCACCACTGTCCAAAAGACAGATCCGAAAGTTCGATTTCTCTAAAGATATTAGTATACGTTATTAGTTAGGATACAGGTCTACCAGCCCGCTAGACTCTGACGACTGTCTGACACTCACAGCCATGCCTCCATGACCATGAGAGCTCTGCTTTTGACAAACATAATTAATCCAAAATCACAAGTCAACGAGCAGAGGAATGCAGAGCCGGAGTAGGCATCAAGTGCATGCAGCTGTTATAATCTATGCCAAGCCAAAAACTTGCAGACTTTTGGGAAAAAAAAAAACTTGCAGATTTTTGAGAATCAGAAAACACAGCCACGCAATTCATCTGAAATGGCACCATTATTAATTGTTTGTGCGGATAGTAGTTAGCTACAAATTGGGCGTTCGCCGTTTTCTACGCACGAGGCTCGGCGTTCACCGTTCGAATTTGATTGGAAAGAATTCCCCCAAAAAAGAATTTGATTGGAAAGGATTAATATAAGGCAACAATGCAACCGTCAAAAAGTCTGTAGGTAGGATAATAACTGAGATATTTATTTGTATGGTCTGAAAAAAATACAACTTTCTTTTATGGTTCTTTTTTTTTTAACTTACTTAGTCCCAAAACGAAATTCTATTACTTCTATGACCTTCGTATGATTAGCTTTTTTTTTCATCTACCGTGAGTGTCCCCACTTTTGAAAGTTGAGGTTGTAAACAGATAGTCCCAACGGGAAATGATCAACCTTGTCCAGTACCCTGTCAGATGTTGCCCTTGTTGCTTAGTGTGTCCCCTTCTGTTTTTGTTTTTTTTTTTCCGACACATGTCCCCTTCCCTCTTTTTTTGCGACTCGTGGCAGCCCCTCATCCAGTTGAGCATGACGCCCGCACCGGCCTCGCCCGTCGCCGTCGTGGGCGCCTCCGTCCCCGCCGACACCGCTCCACGCAGCCGCGTCGGCTCCGCGCGAGCTCCAGCCGCGCCGGCGGCCGCTGGGAGCTCCCCGCCCGAGTTCCGGCCATGAAGCCATGGCCCCGCCGGGCACGTGCTTGTCGGCCACGGGGGCCTGCACGCGCCCCACGCCGCCGGCCCCGCGCCACCCCGCCCACCGGCCCTCGCCGGCCGAGGTCGCACCTCCTGCACACAAGAGCAGAGGAAGAAGAAAGGCCCGTGGATTTTTTCTTGCATTTTGTCTCCTGACATGTGGGCCCAGTTCATCAGTGACATAGAGGGTAAGGTGGAGCTGAATTCTGCACTTTATTTTTTTGTCGGGTACCCCACATTTAACACCATCAATAGCTTGAATTGGACGGAAGGTCAGGAAGAATTTTTCGTTTTAGAGCAATACAGTTAAGTTCAAAAAAAAACCGTAAAAGGAAGATGTATTTTTATTTTAGACTATGCCCCATAATAATTAAGCTGCGGTGCGGTGATAGTAGCGGGTAGGTAGGTAATGCCGACACTTACAACAGTACAACACATAGTCACAAAGTTCAGGCTTGACACGAGACATGATCACGATCGTTACTTGCGTATGTAAAATATGGAGGAGCCAAAAAAGAACAGGTTTCTCGACGGGGGAGACGAATTGAACATTGGCGAAATAGGAGATGTCAAAAAAAAGAACGACAGTTGTGAATGCCAAATGGGCTGGTCTTCCTGGGCCTTTCATCCATGAGGCCCACAGACGTCATCCGGCGTCTTCTTCCTAACGGCTGCCAGTTGCCAGGCGCCCTCGGATCCCTGCCGAGCGCCAACTGCCACCTTCCCCCCGCCACCGCCTGCCGCCTCTCGAGCTCCATAGGACCACCACCTACGTCATCGAGATGATTGCGCAGGATGCCGCCCGCCTCGCCTCCATCACCTCCTACGAGAGCGAGATCCAGACCGGCCTCCGCTCGTCTCATCCTAATCAGGGAAACTCGTCGCCTTCGAGGGGCGAGGGCACCAGGGCTGCCGACTAAGGCCTTGTTTAATGCGCATGTATTCATCTTAATTCACATGCGTTCACATCCAAACAAGCCCTAATGCACCTCCCCTTGGGCTAGTACGAGTACAGCAATTGCTAGGGTTGGTAGTTGTGAAGCGGTAGTGGTAGTAGCAGCGGCAGCAGAGAAATGGGAGGGAGGGGTACGCTGATGGTTTTGTGTGTTGTTTTGGTTGCGACAGGGATCGTCAGTGCCGCTTCTGGTTTTGGAGCAATGTCTCTTCGTCGATATAGGATACTAGTGGTTTCTGTTTACATGATCTGTATGATTGGATTGGGCTTTGTTGTCAATTGATTATTACTACACGATGATACATATGATCAATTTTTGAAACAGAATGTTGTGATTGCTATTTGCTAATTGCATTGCTTGGTTGGAACTCTGAATCTTCTTGCAGTTATACACTACTTTGGGAATGCGAAGCTCGTCCATGTCTCTTTGCATTTGTTGATTCTGCTCTAATTATAGTTACTCTGCCAACCTGGTCCATGTCTCTTTGCATTTGTTGATTCTGCAAATTGCAGTGGGTTCTTTATTTTTCTGTTAATTCTTGCGCTGATCTGCCTGGAGAGGGCAATTACTTATTTGTTGCAGTTGCCTTGCTTTGGCAATGCGAGAAGTAAGTCTTGGCACCATTTGCGTTCTGAGTCTTCAGAATGTGTATGAAGTTGTTTTATGGTGCCATTGAGTATTTATTGTGCCACAAATTCTGACATCTGTGGTTTAACTTGCTTGGCATTTTATAATTTCCGACATTGTCCTACTGCCATGTTTGTTCGTTGCTGATCTGAACATATGCTGCATGGAGGTTTCCCTGACAATGTGCATGGGGTGCCACTAGAGCTTGGCTACCAATAATGAAGACAATACGATGTTTTCTGAATTTCTAGATTTTGTGATGCTCTCATCTGCATGCACCCTGATTGCCATATAAACATAGTCAGTTTGAGCTGTGGCCTGCTTCTTTATTGATTAAATTTCAGTGGAAACTTCATCAATTTTTTTGTTTTGGGTGATTATTATGAACCTGTATTCATTTGAAATGCATGTCTAACTTTTCAAGCCAAGTATTTTTCATATTTTGATCCATGACTAATATGAGGATGCGCTTTAATGAACAGGCAGAGCACCCAGCCATTTTCCTCAAAATAATGTGAGGATGTGGAGTAAGTGTATATGGATGATATGCCCACTTCTGTAGAAGTTCAAGCATTTCGTATCTTAAGAAGGTAAATTTGCATGGCATTTTACTTTTCCATTTACACTATTATAGATCCAAAAGGGGAGACTTCAAACCTGACTGCATGTACGGCTTTAGTTGTTTTAGTCGACAACATATCCTAAATTTCTAATCTGCCTTCAGTGATTATTGCTCTAGCAAATGTCTGCAAGTGGTGTTTTCTCAAGATAACAGGAAACACAAGGTATGAATCTTTGATGTCGTGCATCTCTTTGAGCAGGATATGGCAAGCCTGAAAACAGAAATTCGTAGAAAGAAATAAAATTCTTGGTTCTACTCTTCACAATGATATTCTTTGACTCCACATGTAGCCATAATATTGTTGAAACAGCATTGTTGAAGGTTCTTTCACCAAGTGGAACCATTGAGCTTCATGTAAACATACCAAGCAATATCACCTGATCCAGTTGTTGAGATCTCAGAACAGCCCCCATACTCTACAAAATGTCCAAAGATAAAAGATAACCGATTTAGAGTTCAACTACACCATTGAGCCAACTGCAGGTGAAAAAGTTTCTATTATCTGATTTATGTAGCGATTGTTGTATATTCATATAACAACCAATTTGCATAAAATCTGATATAAAGAAAATGCAGATTTTTAAAGGCAGGATAATAGAATTGAAGCCACCTTTAATTATTTTATTTAAGTTATCACCTGCAAACATATTGCCCATTTTCAGCTCTACTTATCCACTGTTGTTTGAAAATTACTGCAAAAACGTTCCTCCTCCATCTTCCACCACAAGAGGTCTGGCAAACTTGAGGTATGAATCTCTGATAGCATGCATCTCATTGACCGCATCTTGTATCAGTGTTCTCTCTCTAGGTTGTTTTCTCTAGCAGGATACCCCAAGAGCAATGACATGAACCAAACATTTCTCAATTTTGTTTCTTGTATTGCTACCATAGGTGCTAGTGTGCAGCCACATTGTCGTGTTGGCTATCTCCCAGATTTTATCTGGGAGAGCATCCTCTGAAAACTTATGTAGAATCACTGAGTCTCTAAACATATCATCTGTTGGGCTCCTCCCTGTAAAAATTTCGAGCAGCAATATGCCAGGCTATAAACATCACCAGAAAGTCGTGATGGAAGAACCTTCACCATACTCTATTATTATGCAAAAGAAATAGGAAGTATTGATCAACATGCCATATTTATAGAAGGATTTGCAATAAAGACAAAATATTCAAAACATAGCATTTACCAGGAGCAACATAACCAATGGAGCCTCTTATGCCAACTGTGCTATTGGAATTTTGTAGAATTTTACTTTCACTTTCTGAAATGATTCTAGATATGCCAAAATCTCCAACTCGGGCACTCATGTCTTCTTTGAGAAGGATGTTGCTTGGTTTGAGATCACAGTGGATGATTGATGGCTGGCAGTGATTATGAAGATAGTCTAATGCATCCATGATATCAACAGCAACATCTAGCCTTTGTGCAAGGCTGAGAGTATTGTTTAAAGTGGGCATGGTAGATTCTTTATGGAGCCAACGATTCAAGCTACCATTTGGCATGAACTCAAAAACCAATGCCTTGAAATCCCGACCTTGTTTATTGATGCTTGAGCAACATGTGATGATCTTCATGAGGCAGCGGTGGCGCACCCTTCTCAGTGTCTCACATTCGGCTACAAAACTTTTAGTAGAACCTGATTGTTCAAGGTCAAAAACCTTTACAGCTACAACAGTTCCCTCAGGTTGAAAAGCACATTTATAGACTGTCCCAAAGCTCCCTTTGCCAAGCAAATTAGCTTCGGAGAATCCATTGGTTCCATTTGATAATGCATGATAAGAAACTTTTCATACTGTTCCTCAACCATTGGTGGTTCAAGTGTGCCCTTCTGCCTTTGTCTTTGCTTCCTGTAGATAAAGTGAACAAGTGAAATACCAATAGCTAATAATAAGAGTGCAAAGGTTGTTGCTATTGCTATTTTAAGATACTTTAGCTTCCCCCTTCTGTTCTTTTTCACAGAATCTGTCTTGCATGGAACTAAATGAAGTTGGGGTATTCCTCCACAAAGCTTGCTATTTCTGTTGATCGACAGGTTAGCCAAATTTCTGAAAATCCCTTCTTTTGGCACTTCCCCTTGCAGATCGTTGAAGGACAAATCCAAGTTTGACAATGATGTCAAGTTCTGTAGAATTGCAGGGATTGGTCCTGACAAATTGTTGTGCGCCAGACACAATTGCTCCAGCCCACTGATACTTGCAATGGCATCTGGAATGCTACTGGAAAACTCATTCATTGACAGGTTGAGTGTAGTTAGAGCCTTGTTTAGATATTTTGGTATGCTTACTGTCCAACCAAAGTTCTTGCAGCACTGTGCACTTGCCAATACTTTCAGGTATCTGGCCAGACAGCTGGTTTCATGATAGATTTAGTAGATTAAGATTTTGTAAGCTACGGACCTGGGAGGGAAGAGGTCCTGATAGTGAATTGTATGACAAGTCTAAGTAATAACTGAAAGAAAGTTGAAAAATCTCTCTTGGAATAGAACCGTTCAGGTGGTTCCACGACAAAACAAGGGCAACTAAACTCTTCAACTTCCCAATGCTTGGTGGAACTGGCCCCTCTAGATTGTTATTAAAGGCATTAAGGATAGCTAACTTTGAGAGATTTCCAATAGATGAAGGTATTTGGCCAGACAAGTTATTATTGTACAAATAAATCTCAGTCAAGTTTCCTAGCTTGCCGATGCTATCTGGAATTACTCTGGATATGGAGGCATCATTAGCACTAAGGAATTGAAGGCCCACCAGATTGCCGATGGCCGAGGGATGCTTCCCCAAATCCCAGTATAGCCTGTTAGCCATTATAAGTCAGTTGCCGGATATGTACAGTAGGCTAGCTGGTTTCAGTTTTTACATTCAGTTAGCGTTAGCAGGTCAGACTTTCAGTTAGAGTCCGCGCAGCGTCGTCCACGTCGCGCGTCCGTCGCGGCACGTCCCAGCGGTTTGGGATGGCACTCCGTGATCATGAGCGTGCCGCCATTTTTCCCGGCCACGATGGCCTTGTAATCTTCTTTTATTACCGCAATCTAAACAAGAAAACGCTGCCAGTTGACAGCACCAAAACTCCCGTGTTTTGCAGTTCACCGAGTTCACGCGAGAGAGAGGTAGAGAGTTCGCCGGCGATCCGAATTTTCAGCGGGCGAACTTCTGACATTTGGTATCAGAGCCAAGGGTTGTTCCAGTCATGGCGCCAACCACTCCGCCGCGTTCTGCCGGTAGTGATGATGACCCTAAGGGGTCAGGCGCCAGAGGGTCGCGCTCGCCGCGACGTCGCCGTCCTCGCCGCCCAAGCCGATCGCGTACCTGGGACGCCGGGCGTCGCGAGCGGGTCATCGAGCGAGTGATCGAGCGCGGCTCCAACTCCATCTAGTACCCGATGCTCACGCGGACCAACTACCAAGAGTGGGCGTTGGTCATGAAGGTGAACCTCCAGGCGGCGCAGTACTGGGAGGCCATTGATCCTGGTGATTGCGACGATCACACTGATCGACTCGCGCTCGCAGCGATTCTGTGCGGAGTACCGCAGGAGATGTGGAGCTTACTGGCCAAGAAGGCAACAGCCACGGAGGCATGGCAGGCGGTGAAGACCATGCGGGTCGGCATCGAACGTGTGCGCAAGGCGAACGCGCAGCAGCTGCGACGCGACTTCAACTCCATCGCCTTCAAGCCTGGTGAGTCCATCGATGACTTCGCAGTTCAACTCACCACGCTCGCCGACAACCTCCGCACACTTGGCGACGGCATCACGGACGCCGAACTCGTCAAGAAGCTCCTCCAGGTGGTGCCAGAGAAGCTCAACCAGACGACCGTCGCGCTCGAGATGCTCCTCGACCTGAACAACATCCCGGTCGAGGAGGTCGTTGGGCGCCTGCGGGTGTTCTAGCAGCGCACCCAGCCGGAGGCCAAGCAGGTCATGGACTCGCTGGGCCGGCTGATGCTGTGCGAGGAAGATTGGGAGGCGCGCCGCAAGGCTCGGAACGAGCAGGAACGTGGCGGTTCCAGCTCCGGGTCTGGCGGACGCGGCAAGCACCGTGGCCGCGGAAGGGGGCGTGGTCGCGGTAGCGGCGAATCCCGTGATGCTCCACCTTCGGGCTCGAGCAGGCCTCCACCCGATGACAAGTGCCGCAAGTGCGGAAAAACAGGCCATTGGGCCAAGGACTGTAAGTCCAAGAAGAAAGGGGAAGCCCACATGGCGTATGCCGATGAGGAGGAGCCGGCCCTGATGCTCGCCACCGCGGAGCTGATTCCGATGGATGCACTGCGCTCCCCATCGCCATCCTCTCTGACATCGCTCAAACCGCATCGCGTCGAGTTGGTGGAAGCCAAAGTCTTCATCTAGCTCGATGCCTAGGCCGAGAAGGACACCGGCCACTGGGTCCTCGACACCGGCGCGACAAACCATATGACGGGATCTCGGAGCGCGTTCGCGGAGCTCGATCCTGCCGTCTGCGGAATCGTGCGGTTCGGTGACGGATCACTGGTGAACATCGAAGGGCGCGGGACGGTGCTATTCGCGTGCAAATCCGATGAGCATCACACGCTCACCGACATATACTTCATCCCACGTCTCACTGCCAACATCATCAGCATTGGGCAGTTGGACGACGCGGGGAGCAAGGTCGACATCGAGAACGACATCCTTCGCCTCTATGACCCCGACCGCCGCCTTCTCGCCAAAGTACGGCATGCACCGAACTGCCTGTACTACCTCAACCTCGACATCGCCCGGGCAGTGTGCCTGGCGACGTGCAGCAGCGAGCCGGCATGGCTTTGGCATGCGCGTTACGGCCACCTCAACTTCCAGGCGCTCTGCTGGCTATCCTCACAGTCGATGGTGCGTGGCCTTCCTCCGGTCGACCACGTGAACCAGCTCTGCGATGCGTGCTGGTTGGGAAGCGAAGAGGACGCCGTTCCGCAGCAGTCTACCTACCGGCGCTGACGACCACGGAGCTCGTCCCACGGCGACATCGTGGACCGATCGAGCCCACCACTGGGGTAAGAGGTATTTTTGTTGCTGATTGATGACATGAGTCGCTATATGTGGCTCACCTTGATCACCAAGCAAAGATGAGGCGGCTGCCACCATCAAGCAGTTCAAGGCCCGTGTGGAGTTGGAGAGCGGGCGCAAGCTGAAGGCGCTGCGAACCGATCACGGTGGTGAATTCATGTCGATTGAGTTCGGCGAGTACATGGCGGATCACAGTGTCCACCGGCAGTTGACGGCCCCCTCCTTGCCCCAGCAAAATGGGGTCGTCGAACGCCGAAACCAGAGCGTGGTCTCCACCGCGCTCAGCATGATGAAGGCAAAAGGTGTTCCAGGAAGGTTTTGGGGTGAGGCCGTGCACACCGCGGTCTATCTCCTGAACCGCTCCCCGACGAAGGTGCTGTCCGGAGTGACTCCGTACGAGGCCTGGCATGGCAAGCAGCCGTCTGTCCATCACCTGAGGACTTTCGGTTGCATCGGCCATGTCAAGGACGTGCGGCCTCACCTCAAGAAGCTTGTTGATCGGTCTACACCGATGGTCCTGCTCGGCTATGAGGAAGGGAGCAAAGCTTATTGCCTCTTCGATCCAGTTGGCGAGCGGGTGCACGTATCGCGCGACGTCGTGTTCGACGAGAGCACGAGCTGGAGCTGGGGTGCAACATCGACACCGGCTGCTGGAGTCGAGCCATTTAGCGTCGAGTTCTTGTCTCTGCCCATCGGGGTTGGGGAACAGGAACCTGCAGCTGCGAGTCCTGCACCGCCTTCGCCACAACCTACCACATCGCCACCGGCATCACATCCACCTGCATCGCCGGGCTCAGTGATTCCACCATCACCGCAGGATGGCATCGAGTTCGCGTCGCCACCATCGTTCGATGATGCGCTCGACGCAGACGTGGATGATGATGAGCCCCAGCGCTACCGCCTCGTCGACAACGTCATCGGGGACAGCACTCCACCTGGGTATGCACCTCGGCCACCGCTCAAATTTGATGAGCTTCATGCAGTCACCGCCGAGGAACCAGGCTCGTTCAAGGAGGCAGAACATGCCTTGGAGTGGCAGCAAGCCATGAAGGAAGAGATGGACGCCATCATCGCCAATGGGACATGGAGTCTCACTGAGCTCCCCGCCGGTCACCGTGCTATTGGCCTCAAGTGGGTCTATAAGGTGAAACGGGACCAGCGGGGTGCCATCGTCCGTCACAAGGCGCGCCTGGTGGCCAAGGGGTACGTCCAGCGCCAGGGGGTGGACTTTGAGGAGGTGTTTGTGCCGGTGGCGCGCCTCGAGTCCGTGCGGCTCATGATCGCCATTGCCGTGCACTGGAACTGGCCGGTTCACCACATGGATGTGAAATCGGCCTTCCTGAATGGAGACCTCAAGGAGGAGGTGTACGTCGCTCAACCACCCAGCTTCGTCGACAAGGACTGCCCCAGCAAGGTACTGCGCCTTCACAAGGCATTGTACGGACTGCGCCAAGCTCCTCGTGCCTGGAACACCAAGTTGGACGCGACACTGCTCTCCCTCGGGTTCAGGCGCAGCGAGAATGAACACGGCGTCTACACATGCGGCAACGCACAAAAGCGGCTGATTGTCGGCATTTATGTCGATGATCTCATCATCACGGGCGACGATGTTGCTGAACTACGGGTGTTCAAGGAGGACATGAAGAGGAGGTTCCAGATGAGCGACCTCGGCACACTATCGTACTACCTCGGCATCGAAGTGTGTCAGGCGCCATCGGGGATCGCCATCTCCCAGGAGCGCTACGCCCAGAAGCTGTTGGAGCGAGCAGGCATGCTCGACTGCAACCCGAGCGCGACGCCAATGGAGCCTCGGCTCAAGCTCCTCAAGAAGAGCAATGCCCCACACGTTGACGCCACTGCGTATAGGAGTATTGTGGGAGGTCTCAGGTACCTACTTCACACATGCCCGGACTTGTCATACAGCGTCGGCTAGGTAAGCAGGTTCATGGAGGCACCAACGGAGGAGCACCAGGCTACTGTCAAGCGCATACTGCGCTATGTGGCAGGGACAGCAGGTCTGGGCATTCACTACAAGCGTGGGGACAAGAAGAAGCTGCCGCGGCTACACGGCTACAGCGACAACGATTTTGCCGGTGACGCCAACGACCGTAAAAGCACCGGCGGAGTCATCTACTTCCTCGACAATGGGCCGATCTCGTCGTGCGAAGCCGAATATATCGCGGCGGCGACTGCGACATGTCAGGGTGTCTGGCTTGCTCGCCTCTTTGCAGACTTGGTCGACGTCGAGGCCATAGCACCGACCCTACGGGTGGACAACAAGTCCGCCATCTCTCTTGTCAAGAATCCAGTGCACCACGACCGGACCAAGCATATTGACGTGAAGTACCACTACGTCCGGGAGTGTGCAGATCAAGGCTTGATCGATGTTCAGTTCATTGGAACGGTGGAGCAGCTAGGTGACATCCTTACCAAAGCACTCGGACGCCTAAAGTATGAAGAGCTTCGCAGCAAGATCGGCCTCACCAAGTTTCTCTCTACCGGCAACAGGACTTAGGGGGTGATTTGTTAGCCATTATAAGTCAGTTGCCGGATATGTACAGTAGGCTAGCTGGTTTCAGTTTTTACATTCAGTTAGCGTTAGCAGGTCAGACTTTCAGTTAGAGTCCGCGCAGCGTCGTCCACGTCGCGCGTCCGTCGCGGCACGTCCCAGCGGTTTGGGATGGCACTCCGTGATCATGAGCGTGCCGCCATTTTTCCCGGCCACGATGGCCTTGTAATCTTCTTTTATTACCGCAATCTAAACAAGAAAACGCTGCCAGTTGACAGCACCAAA